TCTTGATACGTTTACCTAAAATGGTAGTAAAATTTTATTTACAGTCAACCCTCTACATAATCACCCTCTCTATCTATTATTCGTAGGCACATTATACAAAAAACCTCTATTTATCACGCTTCAAATTAAAACAAATTATATTCTACAGTATTAAACTTATATACAATATAAAAATATTAAAAATATACCCTTATATAAGCACAACCTCTTTATAAGCACTTTTTAGTTTTTGATTAATAAAAGTTGCAGTAGTTTGTCGGTGTTTTAAATGTCAAATTATTATTTTTTTTTCGACAATCTACAGTATTAAAGACTGTTTTGTACAGAATTTAACAAATTTTTTAGCATATTGCTATAAAGTATTCAAAGTTTGATATCTATTAATTATTCAGTTACTACTGTTAATACTCAGATATATACGTATAACTGTTTTATGAACTTTCAGATTCTTAATTCTATTTTTAGCTACCATCTAAATTCTTAACTTCTTTTTACTAAATAAACCATAGAAACCAAAAAACTATTTTTTTCTTTTTTTTTTTTTTGCAAATCCACATACAGCTCACTCTCGCTATAATAATTAAAATCTCGATATAGTGAAGTTAAGCTCAAGGCCAGTCTATATAAAGTTCTCTCGATATAGTGAATTTTTTAAAAATTTTTATAAAGAGTGAGTTGTACAGTATATTCTGGAATTCTATTGGTCAAACATAACTGGGGGTATGACAGCTACAGCTACATGGGTACAAAAATATTTCACGATTTGCTATTACTGTATTATGCCTCAAGATTTTCGATTTTCGATTATTTAGTATGGATCTCTTAGCAACTGAATACCAGTCAAGTGAAGAGGAAACGACAGAATCAACTTCTTCTAAACGCACCAATTTTCCAAGTAATACCTCACAGATTGCTAAACGTCCAAAAATTAATCTTGCCCCTCACGTTAGCTTGGAGGTTTGTATACTTTTCACTTGTTATTTTGTCAAGATCGCGCAATGAAAACAATTTATAAAAGCCTTTTTCAACAGATCTATACATATTTTGCAAAACGCGCGTTACTTTGACTCTTCGTTTAATCTAAATTACCCCTCGTTTTCATACTTTTATAAAAGGTTTCTACAAATTTATGTAATATGGTTGAAATTTCCCTCTAGGATCCAAAACTCTCAACTTCCCTTTACACAAAACCAACTGATACTCAAATAACTGTCAACATCCCTTACGAGGATTTAATTCAACCTGTCGTTGGTCCTAATAATCCGTTCAGTACTCGAGTAATTAACCAAAATGTTCTCACTGGCCATGTTGAGGAACAAGCCTATTCCGAATTTGCTTTCAGAACCCAACAACGTACTTTTAC